AAGAGGTATAGAACGAACCAGATAGAAACTTCATAATCTGAGACGGCCTGTTTGTGATTCCTGGGTGTGGTGTGGAAAAAAAACAAGTTATTATGGCTGTTGCATAACACTCTGCCTAAGAACTTTCTAGGACACCTGGATAGACCATTGATGGGAGCCGAGTGCTGGACTTGACAAAGCTTTTAGTCAGGTCCAGCAAGGAAACCTTAGACGCTCTTGTGCTCGTATATGTGCTGCCGCTGTGAAAGAGTCAAACAAAATTAGGTTGAGGACTACAGTGGAAGGAGGTGTTGTCCGTGGCCTTCCAAGTTGTGCTCATTTAACAGCCCCTCTTGCGGTACTCGGACTTACAGTTTCCTCACGCACGAGGGCTCAACAATTAAAGTAGTCATTCACTACAGCAGAGGACCTAGGCTAGCACAGCATGTTCATTTATAGCACTGGGAGATGGCCATCTGCACAGAACGTACCGCTCTGCTGTGCTTCACCTTTCCAATACAGCGAGATCATGTTCTCAGCTGCTGTAACAAAGCTCACTGTTAATGATTCCAGGAGCCCTGCGGCCTATAATTGTGGCACCCCTTACCGCCAGAGACTGAAGCATGAATCATCTCAAAGTTCAAGAAGAATTTAGGCGACTTCTCTTTGGAATATGGCATCTTTTCTCCTTACGAAAGAGTGTGTGTAACAGTCAAATTAGTATAAGCAACATGGTGAAGCCTATGCCTGAGTGGTATTCATTCAGAAGGCCAGAGCAGGAGGATTATTTAGGGTTAACATACATCCAGAATTTCCTGGAAACAGTGTCTGAGCAGAAATAGCTCAAAATGTGATTTCTCTTTTTGTTAGATGTTTTTGTACAATTCCCATCATCCCTAGCTAACAGGACCAGTGGTCAGGGATGATGGGAATTGTAGTCTAAAAACATCTGGAGGGCCGAGTTTACCTATGCCTGTCCTGGAAGGCTTCAAGAGCTCTCCACAGATGGCATAGGTATCACCTGGTTAACTCAGGGATGGGAATCCTGCGGCCTTCCTGATGGTAGCTGGATTCAAACTCCCATCAGCCCTGGCCAGCTTTTGAATTTTTATTTAAACAAAATGTATATTTAAAAAACGTATATACCACTTACCCGATACCAATTAAAGCGAACATTAAAAGGAAGCTGACTTTTAAAAATCAGAATGTTAATAAAACCAGTAATTCTAAAAACAACCACACATAATAAAATTACATGTTAACATTGCGAAAAGGCTTTAGCAGGTGCTGAAAACAATTCAGTGAAGGTGCTTGCCTAATACCAATGGGCAGGGACTTCCAAAAAGTAGGTGTTGCCACACAGAACATACATTATATGGAACTCGTAAAAGTGCCGGTTTCGGAGATCAAAGCAATCAAATGGGCCCAGGGGGAGTAATCTGATCCTTCAAGTAAACTGGTCCTAAGCGGCTGAGGGCTTTATATACTAACACCTTGAATTTGGCCTGGTAACAAATTGTCAGTCAATGCAGATCTCTGAGCAGGGGTGTAATACACTGCGAGAGCCTCACTCCTGTCAGCAACCATACTGCAACATTCATCACTAACTGTGATTTCCAGATCAAGTGCAAACAGAGCCCTACATGTACAGCATAGAACTGATCCAGTCTTGAAGTTACTAATGCGTGGACTACTGTGGTGAATATATCCTGATCTTGGAATGCACAGGCCATCGTCAGATGATGAAAGATGTAGTCCAATAACTTTGTGTGTGTGCGTGCGTGCGCATATGTTTCTTTGGTCAAACAAACTGATCATGGAAACTCACATGTCAAGCTTATGAGCCATTTAGGCTGAAGTGTGTATTAGAAGTAAAGTAGGAAAGACTTGTGTTACACCGACACGACCAGAATGGCAGAAGACATTTCCTCCAGTACTGAACAAAGTGGACCTCTAAGAGGTAGAGGTAAAGGGGGGGGGTGGGGGGGTGCGTGTGCGTGCAAGAGAGCAAGAAAGAGAAAATGAGAGTGCTATGATTATCAGTGATCAAACAAAGGAAAGGGTGTCCCGTTTCTTTCCAGAACCTGGTACAGCCTAAAATAATGTATAAATAGTAATGCAAACACTTTTTTTTTTACTTTCTATGTGTTTTGCTTATATGTATTAGTGAAAGACTGTCACCTATAATTATTTGTATATTACCGTGTGTTTATTGTTGCCACATTATTGAGATTTAAAATAGAATAAAAACATTAAAAAGAAAAGAAAAGTCACAACATTATTTCACTTTTCCTCACAGGAGCCTGAAAAACTCACATTTTTAGAGCTGTCATGGTGGAGACAGTTTGCTTTGAGACATAAGTTATGACTTCATAAGGGCATACAGTTGTACCTTGGATCCCGAACGCCCTGGAACTCGGACATTTTGGCTCCCAAACGCAGCAAACCCGGAAGTGATTGTTCTGGTTTGCAAACATTCTTTTGGAACCCGAAATCAGACAGGGCTTCCGCAGCTTCTGATTGGCTGCAGGAGCTTCCGTTTGACTTCCACGGCACGACTGTACAGGCAAACTCCATGGCTTCAATAAGCAATCTTCTGTTGTTTTAAGCAAGAAACACCCCCAAAAAACATTATCCAACATATTTTGGGAAGGGGCGTGTGTGTGAGTACACTGCAGCTTATTTTGATGCCCCCTCCCTTTTATTTAGGTTCACTCATTGGCATTTTCTGCCTCTCAGTCCAGTCCTCCAAAAAGAAAAAAAAACTGGACTGGGCATTATCAGTTGAGTTGCATGACACACACACACAAATGCACACATGCCACAAAGGGCTGAGAGATGTGCCTATGTGAATAGAGGTCGTGCTAGAAAACAAAAGCTTCCTCTGTGCCTCCGGAATATTCCACTACACAATGTCTGAAACACAAAAGTCACACGACTCCCATACCTAAACAACATTTAGAAATGCTATAACAGGGGTCAGCAAACTTTTTCAGTAGGAGGCCACTGTCCCTCAGACCTTGTGGGAGGCCGGACTATATTTTTTTTGGGGGGGGATGAATTCCTATGCCCCACAAATAACTCAGAGATGCATTTTAAATAAAAGGACACATCCTACTCATGTAAACACACGCTGATTCCCGGAACGTCCACGGGCGGATTTAGAAGGTGATTGAGCCGGATCCGGCCCCGGGGCCTTAGTTTGCCTACCCATGGGCTAGAAGGTGAAGAACTGTAACCCCTACTCAGCACCACCCTAAATCTCTTTGTATTTGTCCAACAGTTTTAGTTGAGAACAATTCTTGATGAAATATTTAATTTTATTTCAATGGTTTTGGTGGTGGTGGTGTTTTGGCAGCATCCTCTATAACAATGTCTAGATCAACAGTTCTGTGTTTGTGGACCAAACATGAGATTTCCCCCACTTTGACATGCTGAGCTGCAAAGCATTCACTGTTTAAATCTGTAGCACTGGCAACAACCACCCACTTGAAAAATGTCCTGAATCTACAGTCGGTCCCTGGCACCAGTGGCCAGGTGGGAGCATTGAGTTCAGACTTAGAACAGCACACGGCAATTGAGATTATAAACAGCAGGTGGTGCTGTATTCCTATGACCTCTGGAGGAAGCCAAGCCTAAATGGATATATACACCCCCCTATCCAATGTGAATGAACACAACGCTTCTGCAGAAATTTATCTCTCACAGCCATCTCACCTCTAGCAAAGCCGAGCTGAACTAAAATTAAATTGGCTCTTTCCTGCTAAGACTTTTCCCTTGTGGCAGGTAAGTCTGAAGTGCTAATTACCCACCAGGTCTGGTTTTCTACATATATCTGCAAGTGTAATCCAAAGAGCAACCAAAACAATTAGCAACCTGGCTAAGAAGTGGGGAGTTTGCTTGGGAGAGAGACTACTTGAGAAAAGTAAGACTAATAGGTTTCAGGTGCATAAAGGGGTGCCTGGAGAAGGTTGTGGGTTGTCTGCCATGGGCAAAAGCAATGGGCGGAAGCTGAAGCCAGAAGGACTTAGGATTGACGCCAGAGTGTAGTGAGTGGTAGAACCCTGAAACAGGTTGCTTACAGGTGCAGGGGAACTTCCATCACTGGAGGTCTTTAAGGAGGAGCATATGTCTATTAGTTTGGCAGCGGCAGGCGGGCAGGCAGGCAGGGGCCAGCCCTTGGCAGGTCCTCTGTATAGTGCTATTACGGGCTGCATTTGGCTAGGTGGGTAAAATGTTGTGAAGAGAAGCCTGTGCAAGGATGTTAACAGACTGCAACCACTAATCTCAGTCAAGTTGTTATTTATCCTTTCTGAAACTATCTGCCATGTTGGAACAGATGTAAGAGAGAGAGGGGGAGAGACTTTGGATGCTAACTCAATGAAACTAGTACTTGTAACAGATCCTAAAATGCAGAGTCTCTCCAGTGGCATTCTAAAATGTAAGTCAGTTTAAAATTAAGCAAAGCACACCGGAAACCAAGCAGTCGCCCTTGCTCTGCAACCAGAAGGCTACAACCTGCCATGCTCACAATGGCTGCAGGGAAAAGCAGGAGGGCCTGCAGTATGTCATGCCACTTTCTCAATGCAGCTCAGAGCTGGATCAAAGCTGCAAGGGAGACAGGATTCAGAGTACTGAGAAATCCATTCTAACCTTACAACTGCAGGACACGCATTCAGCTCACTGTTCCAAGTGGTCCTGGCTCTTGCAGCACTGGTTTTGGGTAGTTTTTCCAGGAAGATCAAACATAGTGAATGCTGGAAAACAGGACGGGCATGGATGTGAGAGGCAGGAGGGTGGCAGAGGCGCAGAGAATAGGCTGCATCTCTGGAAGAGGGGCCTGGAGACTCAGCTTTGAGACTGCAGCAGGCAGAGTCTATTCCCCTCTCCAGATCTGTCTCACTGAGAGTAGCCACGTGCAAGGGCCCAATGAAGAGTCAGTGACAAAACGTTACAGGGGCTCTACCTGTATCTCCAAATCAGACCGTTCGGGCCAAAAATAATCAAGTGTTTTCACGGCGTGTGATTTTGCATAATTTATTATACTCACAGTGAACTTGAGGATTGCAACTTCCGTAACTGCAAAAATTTGATTTTTGACCTACAGCAAACAAGTCGTGTATATATGAAAAGAATAAAAATAAAGCGCTTTGTAAAATATGGTGATCAAGCTTTGGATACATACACACATACTGTGATTATTTCCCTGGGGAAGCCCAAAAGCTTGCAATTTTATTGTTTTCGTTTTTTGGCAGACTATATTCCAAGTGATCACCGTGGCTTTATGCTGAAGCCAGAGAGCCATGGTGTTTTGGTTAAAGCAACACGGGCGTGCACAGGTGCATGGGTGTGTTTGGGATGGAGGGGCTGGAGTAGCATTGCCCCTCCATCTACTGCGTTGCTGGTTGTGGACTCATTGTCTTAAGCCATCTACATTCCCCTATGGCAGCAGTGTGTGTGTGTGTGTGTGTGTGTGTGTGTGTGTTAGGAGGGGGGATCCTTTTGCCCCTTGGAACTCTTGATTCACCAGGCTCAGCCTTGTGCACTCCCTTCAAAATGTTCCCAACCGTAAAGCAACAACAACAACAACAAAAGTCGGGACAGTCAGAGCAACGCCCTTCCAGGTATATAGGACACACATCAAGATCTTGCTTTGACCACAAGGGAGACTCTTCCACTCGGTGCCATCTCCTTCCTTCTCCCATCCACTCATCCATCTCCTTTGGGACATTGAGGAGAAACATCTGCCTCCTCTTGTCTCCTGTTGATGTCTGCTGAGAGTGCGTCTCAACTGCGCCAAGTTGTTTCGCTTCCATTTCTCTTCCAGTCTTTGGGCACCCAAGCCCCAGGAAGATGTCATTTCCGGAAAGCGAAGACCTCCCGTGTTTTCAGTCCCCTCCTGCTTTCGTTCCCTGGCTTGGGAGAAGGTTCATCCACCATGCCTCCATAAGGGCAGCTATCCGAGTCCGGGTGGTTCCCCGTACACTCCACAGCGGGGATGTAGCCACTGTCCCACATTCCTGTCCCGCAGAGTTTGCACAGGTCATGCAGACCGCAAGGGATCCGAGGCAGCAGGCGGAACTGATAAAGCAAACTTCTAGCCTGGAAGTGGGATGGCAGAGTAGATGTGAATACACAAGCCCACAAAACAGCACACGGCACAAATAGCAGATACGAGAAACTGCTGAGTTCATCTAAATTGCCCATCTCACACCCAAATCGTAACGGAGGCTTGACACCACTCACAAAAGGAGAACACTGCACAGCCTTCCATATGCTGTTTTGGAGCAGACAGAACTGCAAAGGGTTTTTTGTCTGTCTGTCTGTTTGTTTAACACCTGCAATTTTTAATTTACCTTCCTGAGTATGAGCTCCCCATTCATGTGCATGGCCAGATTCCCAAAGTGGAGAAGCATCTGGTCAGTGGCCAATTGCTGTTCGATGACATCGTCTCCATAGATCACCACAATAGCCACACAGATGAAGAGGTGGAAATAGTCTGTCTGCAGCAGCAAGAGAAGAAAATGATCAAGGGAGGGCGGGCTAGAAAGATGCACCGATTGTGGCAACAAGATCACATTTAGTAGTTTTTTGGCTTAAAAAAAAGCCAGTGAATGGGAGAATCGTAGAATTGTAGAAATGGAAGAGATCCTGAGGGATGTAGTCCAACCCCTTCAATGTAGGAGCATGAGAGAGGTAATGGGAATTATAAATGATGTGGCAAGGTGAGAAGGAAAAGGTATTCACTCTCTCCCAACCACTGTTAGGCAGCAGTTTAACAAAGGCAGCACTGTACTTCGCACAAAGCAGTAGTACTGTTGTGTAGAGGTTAGAGCTTTGTAGTGTGATTGAAGAGAGTCAAGTTGAAATCCCCACTAGCTGGCCTTGGGGCAGTCAGTCACATGCTCTACCTTACAGGGTTGTTGTGAGGATAAAGCAGGAGGTGGAGAAATCATGTATGCCACCCTAATCTTATTAAAAGAAGCACAGGATGGCAACGCATTAAAATAAATCTAGAGAGCGATACACTTTCAAAAGCAATGCAGAAATCTCTTGACTCAGGGCCACAGAGAAAGAGGAGGTGAAAACTAGTAAGGCAGACTGCAAATCCTGGTGCCCAGTTACATGCACGAAATCTGGATGCATTCTGAGAGAACTGGCGTATGCTAACAAGACAAAAGCCTACAGTGTTGAAGTATATGAAATCTAGCAAGTCTGCAAGTTTTTTGACCCAGTTATATCTGTTTTCACTTTGAAGAAGTAATAATAATAATAATAATAATAATAATAATAATAATAATAATAATAATACTATATTATTTATACCCCGCCCATCTGGCTGGGCTTCCCCAGCCACTCTGGGCGGCTTCCAACAAAATATTAAAATACTGTAATACATCAAACATTAAAAGCTTCCCTAAGCAGGGCTGCCTTCTGTAAAGGCATGAGAGGGAATATTATTTCTAGTAAAATGTTTTCAAGTGAGCAACCAACAAATTAGGTACTGGATATGCTGGGTTAAGACTTAATTTACAAAACGCTCCATTCTGAATAAATCTGCACACAGAATTAAGATCTGCTGCAGTGATAGGCAACGTTGTGCTCTCCAGATCTTGCCGGACTTGCATTCCCACCATCCCCGACTACTGGCCATATGCTGGCTAGAGATTATGAGGGCTGGGAGTCCAGCAACTCCTGGAGGGCACCACGTTGGCTGGCCCTGTTCTACTTGCTGAACACAGTGAGTTTTAGGAGCAGAGGAGTCTAGACCACCTGGCAAAGGGCGGCGAAATCGCTGCCACGAGGATTCAAAGCAATCTCCCCTCCCCCTTCCCAGACCACCACCAGAGAGCAACTATTTGGCAGAGAGTAATGCGAGCAAGCAGCATACGGCAAACACAGTTTGGTGGCAGCCTCCTCTCCTGCAGACAAGACCAGGTCAGACAGAAACCATACGCTGCTCAGTCCTGGGGCTAACCTCACAAGGAAGTTGAAAATTAGCTTGCCTCTGTGTGTGTGTGTGTGTGTGTGTGCGCGCGCGCGCGCCTGCCCTTCACACAGCAACATCTGCAGCTTGGAGAGAAAGCCAGGGTTGCAGCAACCCCACCGCACAAGGCAGGCTGAGGGCCGCTTTGGATGATGGGTTGCGACAGCAGCAAGAACAGCCCAGGAGCTCAGTAATGAACAGTCAGGGTGAAATTTGCATCGATTTGTGTAATGTCAGAGGCAAACAGTGGGAGAGAAAGCAAGCACTGTGGAGGGGGAGGGACACACACACACACACACACACACACACAGAGTTCGTTGCAGTCATGGCTGGGGGGAGGGGAGAGAGGCCTGGAAGGACAGCAGCTGCAACCGGCAACATCCCCCCATTCAGCATCCTCCAAGGAGCAGTGCAGGAGCCCCACCGACAAAAAGGACCCTTCTAACTGCCCCGCTCCTCCAGCCCCCTTTTAAACCTTACCTGGTAGTGAGCCCAGCAGGCTTCCCATATACGCAGAGCCTCAGCATCGGGAAACTCACGCTTAAAGCAGAGGAGGATCCAGCGGTGGCAGAAGAGCATCTGAAGGCCATCCTCCCCAAGGGAGACCAGGTGGTGGTAGAAGCGCATGTGCATCAGCCGCAGCAGCTCTCGCAGGTACATCTGGCAAAGAGGAAGGGGCGCTCAGTTCAGCTCCGGAGAAGGGGAAGAAAACCCCGCTACTCCCCTCTAGACCACTGGGCATTCCTGCCCCCAAACCCCTCAGGCTCAGCAGGAGCAGGCACACCTCTTAAGAGCTGGTTCTATTGTTACAGTTATAGTTATTGTTATTGTTATTTGAATTTATATACCACCCTATACCTGGGGGTCTCAGGGTGGTTCACAGAATAAAACTAATTCATTCACTAATGCAAGCAGTCCTATTAGGAGCACTGTATCCCTGGTGCTTCAGGGACGCAGGTGGCGCTGTGGGTTAAACCACAGAGCCTAGGGCTTGCCGATCAGAAGGTCGGCGGTTCGAATCCCCGCAACGGGGTGAGCTCCCGTTGCTCAGTCCCTGCTCCTGCCAACCTAGCAGTTTGAAAGCACGTCAAAGTGCAAGTAGATAAATAGGTACCGCTCCGGCGGGAAGGTAAACGGCATTTCCGTGCGCTGCTCTGGTTCGCCAGAAGCGGCTTAGTCATGCTGGCCACATGACCCGGAAGCTGTACACCGGCTCCCTCGGCCAATAAAGCGAGATGAGCGCCGCAACCCCAGAGTCAGCTACGACTGGACCTAATGGTCAGGGGTCCCTTTACCTTTTTATCCCTGGTGCTAGTGGGTGCACTACTTATGGCCTCAATAGTCTGGTGGTTTTGCTGCTGACTATCAGGTCGGTCTGTAGAAAAACCATGTTGGTCCACGATTTGATCGTGGATGAGTGGGGCTGACCTGGTGCCTATCACCAAGGCCTGGGTGGGGGTTGCTGGGATGGTTAGATCTGACTCAGGTCTACTAGTCCAAGTACTCAGTGTGACAACAGCTCAGACTGGTGGGATGGGGATAAGGGACGCATTGCTGCAGTCCACAAGGAGTTAACTTCTCGCTATCCCTTCGAGTGGGACTGGAAGGGTCCCTTCGAGTGGGAGTGCACCTGGTGTTGGGAAACAGCTTGCAAATGCTGTTGGTGTAGTTCCCACCCTGATGCCCCAACAACCTCCTTGACCAAGCTTATCTTGGGTATGATGTTGGAGGAACCCAGAACAGTGGTTTTAGGTGACCAGCATCCATGCTGAGGTTGCCTTGGGTTGCCAGCTCTCATGAGTTCAGGGGCCTCCATGGCAACTGTTCCTCACCCCACTGCCACTTGTGCTATGGGGTTCTGAAGGGTAATATCCTCTTCCCAGTGTCATTTCACATTTACACGAAGCCATAGGGAGCAGCCATTTGGAGCAATGTGGCATCAGTATATCCTACATGTTGGATACAGCACCTCCTCCTTGCAGCTACTACAACTTCTGCAGGTAAGTTCATCCATCATGGATGCAGATTTCACACTTCTGATCCATTTAGGATTTAAAGGGCAAATGGAGTGCGGAGGAGGAAGAAAAGAGATAAATAAGGTGGGTGGGGGGAGAAGAGTGCTCCAAGGTCAAATTCTCACCAGTTGTTTCTCCATATCCTCATCACGAGGGGAACTGATGAAGATCGTGTTCTGCATCAAACCCACAAAGCACCAGAATGTATCCGATTCATCCAGGACCTCCGCGAGAAGTGGGGCAACAAGGTCAGACATCCCCTGGGAGTAGCCAATGGCAGGGTTGTACACTGCATAGTTCAGCAAGATCCGCCTAGGAAGAGGATGGTCAAATGACCAGATGGTGAGGCTGGGATGGTGGAGCAACCCAGAGAGGTCTGAGCACCTCCCCGCCAACATTTCTCCAATGGAATTAGGGACCTCTTATTCCATAATAATAATTTTACTACTTATACCCCGCCCATCTGACTGGGTTGCCCCGGCCACTCTGGGCGGCTTCCAACATGTATAAAAAACATTATAAAACATTAAACATTTTTTTTTAAATCCCTATACAGGGCTGCCTGCAGATGGCTTGGGGGTTGGATAACTCCATACCCTCTCTAATATTTCTCCGATGAAAGTAGGGACATCCTACCATACCCCCCAACATTTCCAAGATGGAAATAGGGACGTCCTAAGGAAAAGTGGGACATTCTGGGAGCAAATCAGAAACCGGGATGGCTTCTGTAAATCTGGGACTATCCCTGGAAAATAGGGGCACTTGGAGGGTCTGTGAGCATGCTCAGTGGGCACAGAATGCTGACTCGCTGTTAGGGTGGGTGGGGGATGGAAATGAGTGGAGCAGAGTGGCAATGGGCATGGTTGGCTGGCAACATGAAAAGGAGCACTCCATACTACAATATTATTGCAGGCTCCACCTGCTTTGCCCGGCCCACCTTTGAAAGGGTTTCGCTGGAAGCATATGAGGTTGGGTGTCCAAAACACAGATGGATCTGGGCTTTCCCAGTGGGTGCAAGGTTCTCAGTGCATTTTTTTTGGCACTAAAGGGTTGCAATAATCACCTCATTGTTTCCACATTGGGGTTGTTCTCTCCTCGGAAAAACTGGTTGCTGCGGTCCGTCCTCACCACATCTTTGTCGACTGTGAACTGCACATTCCGCCAGAATGCCTTCTGCTCCTCCGGTGTCAGGGAGAGCCTAGGCGCCACATTACAACATGAGTGCACTCACAAACCACCCACTGCTGCCAATGGACCTAGGTCAGGTAGACCGTTCAGATAAGGGTCAAAATAAAGGAGAACTGAGGCAGTTGGGGAGGAAAGAGCAGTTGCCTCTCTTCTGTATACGTCCCACCCAAAATGTGACATTGGACCTACTGTGAAGGTTCATTTTCTGGGGATAGTTAATTCCCCATTCATTGTTTCAATTGCCAGGGGAGGGAGGATTTAAAAGAAGAATGGCTGAGGGAGGGAGGGTGGGCAGAAGGCATCACACACACACACACACACACACACACACACACACGCAAAGCTGGGTATGGACCTGCTGGATTCAAAGTCCCCTCCATTCCCCTGAGAGGCAGCAGGACTGAAGTCCTTACCTACACTTGCAGGAAAATGTGATGTGCTGACTCCTTCACCCTCCCCATCCTAACCTTCCAAGCAGCAGATCTGGGGTTTAGGATTGAGGTTTACAGAACAAAGTAGTTCAGCATTTATAAAAGTAATTAAATGAATGAAAGAAAGAAAGAAAGAAAGAAAGAAAGAAAGAAAGAAAGTAAACCTTGAGAGTCTGGAGTTGGAGCCACTGTCACCGCTCATTACCTTTTCTGCTGGATCTCAAAGTATTCCTCTCTCTTCTGCACTCGGAGCGCCTCCCTCTCCTCTGAAGTGGATTCATAGCTGTAGTAGCGCAACAAGAAAGGCCAGACCTCACCACGGATGGAGACATCGATCCCACCAAAGAAAATAGCCTGGGGAGGAAGGGAGGGAGGGCAGAGGGGAAATGATAAAGAAGTGGCAACAGAGGAAAATGCCACAGTTTCTGAAACTGGACCTCTTTTGCTCTCCTCCTCTGACAAGTGACGCTATGAGATTCAGGAGCCCCACAATCTGCACATGTTTAGAGGGAAAGCAGTGCCCCCCCCCTTTCCCAGGGGAGACACAAATCAAACTCATTTCAATGTCAATAACCCCCCTGGAGAGGCTATACAATTAACACATCATTCTCACGTCACTGCTTAATCCCCAATCTTGGAAACTTCACACTTGGACCCAGCCTCACATACCGCCTCCCCCACCCCAAAGCCCTTAATTATTTTAAAGCCAGACAGTCTCAATTGCTTTTATAGGCCTTCACATACTGTGCAAGCACCCCTAGAAATGCTGACTGGTTTTCATGTCCCAAACTGCTGGGCAATCAATGCAGCAACAAACCAGAGATCCAGAGAGATGCTCCGTTAGCCTGCAGGGAGCTGACAGGTGCTGCCTCCCCGTTGCCAAAGGCTGGAGGCCAAATAAGCACAACTGCTCCATGCGCCACGTTCCACTAGGGAGACCTTTCTTCTCTTGGAACCAGCAGAGCAAAACATGCCACTGTGTCTTCTCCCTCACCTTCCTCAGCTTGTACTCTTCTTCCACCTGCCCAGCCTCATTTAGATGATGGAGCCACGCAGAGACATCCAGGCGCTTGTAAGCGTTCTCCTCCGGATGGGTCTCCGAGGAGGGCAGCTTGGGCCTTCGGATGGAGAACTGCATGCAGGTCTTCACATCAGTGAGCTGCTAATTGGGAGACAAAACCAGGACAGAGGGCTAGAGCAATAGCTGCAGGAGCCTGACCTCCCATTCCCATGGCTGGGGCATCTTATATCCAGGTCGCCACAGCGGAAAAAGAAGATGATTTTTGTCTGGAGAGAGACTGTCCTGCGAGGGCAGCAAAGCCTTGGAAGTTTGGGGAGACTTCCGGCCCAAGCCAGAAAGTGTAATTGGGAGTAATTAAGGATCAGAGCGACATGACGCACTGCTTGGTTCGGCTGGCTGCCTTTCCCACCCTCCCCTGCCCAAGATCAGAGCTAACACGGCTTGCAGCAATATCGTGAGCCTGCCCAGGAATGCACGCAATAAATTACATCTGATTGGCCACATACAAAAGGGCTGCTGTTACGAAGGAGAGAAGGCAGCGGTGCCAGGCTCTCTGAGGACGCTTGCCATTCCTGGGTGAAAACTGCAGCTGACATTTAATTTAAAAATCAAAAGGTTACTCAACACAGATGGAAGCCCCCGTGGTACTATAATGAGGGGAAAGCGGCAGGGGGAGAAGAGGGGAGGGGGGCTGAGTAGAAGGAAGGGAATGTAGAAATCACTGTTTCTAACAAGCATCTCTAGTATCTTTAAACATATAATTACGGCCTTTGCAAGGCCTTTGTGCAGAATGAAGCAAGATATGCCAATAGGCCTTGTCAAAACATCATTTGAATACAGACGGCTAGAAGTCATAGACTGAACACTCAGCACAAGCCTAATTGCAGAGACAGGATGGACAAGTCAGGACACTTGCTGCATCCTGGACTGGAGTTCAGATTCCACCCAATCTGTGGACTCACCCTGTTCTCATACCGGACACATAACACACAGAAGAGAACCCTGAGAGAATTACATCTGTGGCTTCGCCATTTATATAAACAGCTGGCCTATTTCATAAGGCTGCCGCAGGCCACAAGAAGCAAAGGAAATGAAACGAGGCCCAAATCTTCTAGTTGCAGAAGAGGTTTATAAAGGCGAACACTCTGCCCAATAAAGCAAATCCTCCGTTATTTGAAACTCCTGTTTGGCTAAAATTTCTTAACCCAATGTAGTGTCACCTTGCCAGGAGCTTACATAACCTACGTAAGCCTGCTCCTCGTTAATCCCCAATATTGGATTAAACAAATACTTTAGATGGCTCCCTTCTCCAGCAAGAGAAAGAACAAACCAAGGGAAGTGCATCACCAGTGTCTACAAACCCCTGGCAACTCTCCAGGCAGGCAGAAAAGCTGGTCTGCCAGCAAGAATGGGGCACAGCCCCACCAACCTCAGAAGAAGAGTTTGGATTTGATATCCCGCTTTATCACTACCCTAGGGAGTCTCAAAGCGGCTAACAATCTCCTTTTCTCTTCCTCCCCCACAACAAACACTCTGTGAGGTGAGTGGGGCTGAGAGACTTCAGAGAAGTGTGACTGGCCCAAGGTCACCCAGCAGCTGCATGTGGAGGAGCGGGGAAGCGAACCCGGTTCACCAGATTACGAGTCCACCGCTCTTAACCACTACACCACATTGGCTCTCAGCCAGCCAGCCCTTACCTGCCTTGCCTTCTTACTTTCAACCAGTCCAGGGGGAGGAGGAAGGGGATAAAACAAGAATTGGTTGGCTCTGTTACTCATTCATTCACTTATAATAGTATTTATAAACTGCCCTCCCAGAAAACATCAGCAACATACAAAAGCCTGTAAAAGCAGTACAAAATAATCTTCTCAGTCTTCTTCTTTTTTTAACCTCTCAGCACAAAAAAAATATCTTCAGGAGATGCCTGATATAAAAAGGAAGGCTGCCTGCTGAGTCTCTGCCAGAAGAGTGATCCACAGCATAGACTGGCAGCACTGAATGCTTGACTTCTGGATGCGGCGAGTTGGGCCTCTGTAGCACAGGGACACAACTAACCTCCCTCCTCCAGAGTGATATAAGGTATTCTGGACCCAGGTTGCCCAGGGCTTTGCATATCAACACAAGAGCTTTGAATCTGGCCTGGTACCTACCTACTGTTGGCCTCTGAGCCTTCCAGGGCACTTGCCACCACTTTTCCAGACATGTCAGAAACAAGAAGAGATGCTGCTCACATTTCTTCATTCCTAGCTAGAAATCCACAGACCACATCTGCTAGGGGTGGAGAGGGTGTGCGGAGGCTCCCCAGGTCTACTCTGGACTTGACAGCTTACCTGGTCTTTGAGATGGGTCTCTGTGCAGTATTTCCATTGCTGAAACACTTCGGAAAGTTTATCCAGGCCACCGTGGTGAAAGTGGAAAATCTTGTACTGACTTTCCCTGCTGGCAACAACCAGCTGCCCACTGGTGCATGCCTCATCACTGAAGGAAAATGGTGGAGGGACCGGGAAAGAAAAGAGGGAGTATGTAGTTAAGAGCACAGTTTACTGGTCAGAACATTCTAGGGGGTGGGACATTGTTCAAATACAGACAGCGCAAACAACATTTGTGAGTCCTGCATGCATGTTGCTTGGCTGGGCTGAGAATATATACAGCACCCTTCCAAAGAAATGTGAACTGCACTACACAATCTAATGTGGTTTGGGCACCTCTCATTGAAGGATATGCTTTCTTAAGACACAAAAACCAAACCAATTTAGGGAGCGTTTCCAGGAATCAGAAGTCTGTGCCTTGCATGGACAGCCATCTTTTTCTACATCTCTTCCCAGGCTTCAAGCACCCCAATTCCTTCCTCCTCCCTTGCACTCTCTTCTTCTCTCTCTCTCTCTCTCTCTCGTTCCCTACCCCCCTTCCCCATAGAATGTATCTGCAAGGACCGAAATGGCAAGTTCTCTGAAAACTCCAAACTGCAATCAAAATGAATTATGCAAATCATCTGACCTTAGTTTGCATAATATATTCTGAGCACATACTTTGCTTCCCCCCTCTCCTCCCCCCCACCCCGGGTGTAGAGGTTGCTTTTCATTTTCATTTCGCCCCCTGCAGAGCACACACTGCTCTGATTATGAGCTTTCATGGCCCAATTGGCGCTTGTGAGGTCTCACAGTGCAGAGAACACTGCACTTTTCTCGGTACCCAAAAAAGGTTGGGGTGGGTTTGGGGTTTTTTTTTGCTTACATCTGGCAGTACTTACCAAGTTGTTTATGGTAATCAACCAGAGTCCTGGTATGCTAGGCACTGTACAAACAAAAGCAGTATCAGGTGGAACAGTGCTCCCCACCCCCCACAGCCAGTAGATCCTAAGGGCCTGGGCAAAGGAGTCGGCTGCCAAGACCAGTTTGCTTCTCAAATGAACTCCAGGACTCATGGCGTTAATCAGCAGTGGCTAAGCTTTTTCAGCCCAAGGGATGTTCAGCCACATGCCACCAGTGGGTATGGCCAATGTATATACATACACACAAAAATATCCTGCACGTGCAGACCACACACTCAACACATTCCCCAAATAAACAACACACACTCACCAGACAGGCACAAAGCCCTCTTTCTCTCCATCTTTCTCACACATACATAAAACACTGAATGTGTTATAATAAATAATATAACCCTCCCCCACAACCAAGAACCCCAGCTTTCCTTTGTAACTCCATGTTCCTAGTCCTCATTGTTATTCATACACCACTTGGAACTGTAAAAACAAAAACAGGCGCTAAATAACAGGGGCAGCTCAAGGACTGAAATGGAGGAAACAAACAAAGCTAGCTTGTCAAGGGCTTCCAACCTTTCATCATTTCATGCCAACATTGTTCCATAAATCAATACACATTTCAGATACAGTGGTACCTTGGTTCTCGAACGGCTTAGTTGTCGAACAAATTGGCTCCCGAATGCTGCAAGCCGGGAAATAAGTGTTCCAGTTTGCGAACATATTTTGGAAGCTGAACGTCCGATGCGGCTTCCGCTTGAGTGCAGGAAGCTCCTGCAGCCAATCGGAAGCCGCACCTTGGTTTTTGAATGGTTTCAGGAGTCGAACAGACTCCCGGAATGGATTGAGTTCAAGAACCAAGGGACCACTGTATCTAGCTATCTGTGTATTTGTGGATTCAGGTAGGCAGCTGTGTTGGTCTGACACAGTCGAAATAAATAAAAAAGATACTGAAAGTTTATACCCAGAACAAACTTAGTTGGTCTCTAAGGTGCTACTGGAATTTTATTTATTTATTTCAACTTTGTATTTGTGGGCAGCAACAGCAGAAAAATAACCATCATATTGTATCTGACTGTGTGTTACATTGTTATTGTGGGTTTCATTGTTAAATTGTGACACATTTGTTGAAAATCTCCCTTGGAATGATGTGTACTTGATATAAAGGCAGGATTTTTTTTTTAAAAAAGAAAAACTTATATAAATAAACAAATGCCGTATAAGTGTAACAGCTGTCATGTTTATGAAAATTATATGCAAATCCTGTTAATTTACCTGTGATTAATAGGGTAATTAGCCATAGCCCTTCAGCTCTCCCCGTTCTAAATGAAGAGACTTCCTCTTGTTCCCCACCCCCATCCCACTTGGTAGCCTGAAAAGGAGCTGAATTTTATGGAATAGAAAGTGCATACTTCCTGTTTACACAGCAAAGACCCTAGAAAAACTTACACTCTCAACAGTTACAGGCCCTAAAAATCAGAAACCATGGTACAGTGGTACCTCAGTTTACGAACTTAATCCATTCCGGAAGTCCGCTCTTAAACCGAAACCGTTCTTAAATCGAGGCGTGCTTTCCCTAATGAGGCCTCCCGCCACCGGTGCCCTTCCATCGTTCGGCTTCCGTTCTTAGACCGAGGTAAAGTTCGCAAACGGGGACACTACTTCCAGTTTTGCAGAGTTCGTAAACCGAATAGTTTGTAAACAGGGCTGTTCTTAAACCGAGATACCACTGTGGTGGTGGAGGGGAAAAATTGGAACAGAAGCAAATTCCCAGGCTAGAATTACATATTACCTTGGCAGACATCCATGTTTGCTGAGGTAATGTGTAGCCCCAGCCTCAGGAAGCCAAGTTTTATGCAAGTTATGGATTCCAAGCTGGGTAAGAAGAGCCACTTGTATGGATATATAGAATCCGGCCTACTACTAAATCACCACATTATATATTTTTGCCAGCCCAGTAAAATCCCCTCACAAAACAGGTGGTGGGAGTGGGAAGAAATAGAGACAGTAAGTCTTGGATCACTGGTTCAGAATGCATAGAGGATGTACAGGTAATCTGTTATTTGAAAGACGGACACACTCCACCATTCACAAAGAACACCTGATACCATTAGAACTCCCTAGGTGGGCTTCCACTCAGAGAACAATGAAAGATGGAAATTCACCCTGGTCCTGCTGCCGTGTCACTCTCCTAGGTAACAGGGCAAGGGAAGGCATGTCAGACCATCTCCAAAGGAATTATCCTACCTGAAAAACAGGCGAAGAGACCGCATCTGTCCCAGGTCGACTCTGAAGACACCACAGATCTGTTCCAAGGCAAACACCTTCTGCTGCTCATCCCACCGGGAGGTCTGTACTTGAACGTTATTCTCTTGGAACTGGGAGTTGGGATCAAGGCTTGAGTTGGAGCTGGCTGAGCGAGTCATGTGGCTTTCGCACGGTTCGCTACACCACCATGAGAGAGTGGCACCAAAAGAGGAAGGAAGGAAGGAAGAAGGCAGGAAAAATTACCTGAAAATTACTAACTGCAAGAGCCAGTGCGGTATAGGAGCTAGAGGGCTTGATTTTGATGTGGGAAACAGACTCAACCCCACTTGGCTATGAAGCTCACTCTGTGGTATTGGGCAAGCCATCAACTCAGTCTAACCTTTATCCATTGCTGCAAGAATAAAACGCTCTGAGCAAAAGAAAAAGAAAGCTGGAAGTATAAAATAAAAAACCCAACTCTTTTCATTAAGCTTCACGTAATCAGAAGGCGCAGCGTTCCCCAAGTTGCAAAGTGGCATTAGAGAAAAGTCCAAATTTGTGTGCATGTTTTTCAAGCCAGTAACTCTAATGTCTCATTCTCACTTCAGCAGGTTTATGAAAGCCCAAGCAGGCAACACTGGTTGGCCAACACCAGCTTCAAACCAATGTCTGTGCTTAATTCCCAGATAGGGCTGGTGAGCAGAACAGGTAAGTTTCCTCAAAGTGCAACAATGCTGAGAGGACAATATTTAAAAAAAGAGAGAAGCAAGCAATGTTTCAAGCATGCTGGCCAAAGTGGAAGCAGCTAAAAGGCTTGTGGCTCCTGTGCTGTGAAAGGACTTGGGGAAACCACTTGACTCTGAGTTCCATTCCTGCCAGACTCACTGGGTGGCTGGGCACTGACCCTCTCTCGACCACAGCTTCCAGTTTGTAAAACAGATGCAGCAGCCTCTCTCGCAGGGCAAAGAAAAAGACCATTAAGCACTTTCTACATCAGTGTCAGCCTGTCACATGAACATGTGAATGTAGCAAGCTGCCTTATGCAGAACCAGGCCACTGGTCTATTTAGCTCAGTACTGCAATATTCACCCTATCAATGGAACCCTGAAGTCTTATGCAGAGGTCCAGACCTGTTACCAAAGACATTTTGTTGGCATTGTCATTATTATCACCACCCTTTTCCTGATTGTTCCAATTTTGTTGTTGTTGTTGTTGTTGTTGTTTTGGGGGGGACCCATTTTAAAGGCATCACTGTTATCACCTTTACCTCTGCCCGGTCCACAGCATGGATTGTTCCAAAGTTGTTTGGGGAGGGTCAGCACAGTGAAAAGGCAGAAGCATAATCCTTGTTCTCTCCTCATACAGCCCTAATTTTGAGAAGCTTGCAGATGATAGCCTTAAACATCATACCAGTATGAGCCAGTATTGTTCAAGTACTACTCAAGCTCATTTTATGCATTTTTCATGTATTTTCCTTGTATTTGTATTCTATTCTTTTCCATTCACTAAAGATCTTTTTTTTAAAAAACACTCGCCAGCCAGAATTAAGAATTGTGTGTGTGTGTCTGTGTGTGTGTATCTGTGCATGTATGACTGGCTGTAGTAATTCAAAATTATTTCTGCATTCAGTTATCTTTTATTTTCCAGCACTATTCTACAGCAGCAAACCAGCAACAGGGGGAACATAACAACCAAGACTTAACTGTGTTCAGAAAAGAATAAAGTTTTCCAAACATTTTTTGTGAACCAAAAACAAAACAAAATCAACATCTGAACAGATTTTTCCATATTTGAAACATTTTATGTTTCCATCTCTTTTCTTTTTCTGCTCTTTTGCAGTCAGCAGCTTTTTAGTGCTAAGCCACACCTTTGGCAGTAGCAACCTTCTCAAATTCCAAGAGTGCCCCCCAGACACAAAGAGGTTGGCGACCATTGCTCTAAAATCTCTTCCCAAGCAGGCCTCTTCTATTTCTACAAATATACCTCAAGTGGCTAGCATACAAACAGTAGCATGGATAGCTCAGTTGGTTAGAGCATGGTGCTGATAATGCCAAGGTTACAGGTTTGATCCCTGCATGGGACAGCTACATATTCCTGCATTGAAGAGGGCTGGACTAGATGACACTCAGGGCCCCTCTATGATTCTATAATTCTACTGGCTGTTCTGTGGTAGAAAAAGAACCTTGGAAGGGAAAGGGCTTTAGGTCCTTTAATCACAGAGAAATGTTTGGTAGTGACATTGGCCACATTTCTCCAGAAATAACAGGAATGAAATTCCATAGTCTGCATGTATACATTCTGCAGACAAAAACCACCTACTTCCCATCACATCTCAAATTGAAATATATGCAAATCAGAAGACACACTAACCCTTTAGAGGAACCATTTCAAATGTAAGAATAACTCCCTGCTTCTATCGTGGCACATTTCCCTCAAACGAATAGTCAAGGAACAGGATTTCAGCACCCTTACTCTAGGAATGCAAAATACGATACCACACAGAAGCTCAGCTGGTAGCATCACACATCTCATTTTTAGACAAAGTGGCTGCACAGCTGTTTAACCACAAAATACTAGGGACAACAAGCCAGACAAAGCTTTTCGGCATGTTAAGCAACTGAACTCAGGAGATATATTGCCCCCCAAATAGGGTCCAGATTTCAGAAAGTAACTCCTTCCCTTCCCTATGAAATCATCCTCCCTCCTGCCCCAAGAAAAACAGCAGTGCTCTGGGAAATAAGTGAATCTGAAACTGTGACCTCTGAGATCTTGAAAAGGCCAATCCATTTGAACAGCCTGAATGGGCTCTACTGTGAAATCATGGTTTGCAAAACAAGGCAAGGAGCAGGTATAAAAGCAGCCCCCTGAAAAGCCACTTTATGCAGTGTTTTCTAATCCGCTTATTGAACAATGTAGGCACTGAACGCTGAAGAAATCACACACTCAGCATGCCTGTGCAGAACATCCCCACCAGCATGCTTTCCTATCCTGAAAACAGTGCCCCCCAAACCAGGGCCACAGACTGAACTAGACCGCTGGAAGAGCCTTATTTTTAGCATTCACCAGTGGTTTGGGTCATTGCATTCCAATACACATTCCCTAGACAGCCAAGCTGAGGGCTCCATTGTTAACAGAGCCCCCTCCCTTGATGTGCAGGAGAGACCAAGTTCAGCAATACAGCTTGAAGTCAGTTTCTCTGTCTGTGTACACTCTCTCTCTCTCTCTCTCTCTCTCTCTCACACACACAGTAGAGCCCAATGATCTACTACCCAACACATTTCAAATTAAAATAGTCATACCTCATGTTACGTTTGCTTCAGGTTGTGTGTTTTCAGGTTGCGTCCCACGGCGACCAGAAAGGGTTACTTCCAGGTTTCGCCGCTCGTGCATGTGCAGACACGTAAAATTACATCACGCACATGTGCAGAAGCAGCGAATCGCAACCAGTGCGTGTGCAGACGCAGGTTGCGCTCTTTTCAGGTTGTGAACGGGGCTCCAGAACAGATCCCTGTTCACAACCAGAGGTACCACTGTACATGCTAACCATCTCCAAATTTGCTTTTAAGTTCTTTTATTTGCACATCTTCAGTGATCATAGATAAGTAATTCACAGCTGTTTGGGCTCTCCGTTTCTTGGGTCTCCTGCCTCCCAAGCTCTCTCACCCCGTTACCCCCACCTCAGCTCCACCATTTCTGCCCCATAAAAAAGAGGTTTTCCTTATTCCAAAATGACTTCCGTCTCACAGAAACTGCACCTATCATCAAAACTATGCAACAGACAGAAGCAAAATCAATGCATCTGTTGAACATTTTGGCACAGAACAGCAGCTCAGCGACTAGCTAGGTGGGGAGTGGAAATAGCGTAACAGCTGTTCCTGCACAGGTCCATCTTTTTAAAATCCACTACCCACAAGTCCTCAAGATTTCTGGAAACTTAAAACTCAAATCTTATTTCATTCTGAATGCCCTGGGGAAACCACCATCTTGACTCCCAAAGCAGCTGCGAGACTGAGCAGATCACATACTGGAAAGAGCAGTTAACTTGGTCCAAACAAGCAAAAAATAGGCCCAGAATCCTGTTTTGTTAGGTAACCATGGAAGAACTGGTGATCTGCCTTTTGTCAGAAAGACTGAAGACAGGTGAAGGTAAGAGAAGAGCTTACTTCCTTGGGGAGCCCAAGAGAAGAGTTGGGGTGAAGGATACATACTGAATTTTCCCCAAAAGTATTTCAAGGCTAGGGTTCAACTACCTTCCAAAACAAAGAACATTATTAAAAATTTAAAAAATTAAAAAGTGACCATGGAAGCTGTGAAGGATAGGGGCAGTTCACTCACTCCAAACTAGTCTGCGCTGCTACATCAATTAAGCTAACTTTCTCAGTTTGCAAAGATTCCATATTCAAAGTAGCTGGTAAGTCATTCAGATGTTTTCTTCGTTGCTGGCCAAGGACCCTTTGGAAGTATCTGTTGACTCTCAGGATTTCCTTCAAAGGATGGTGTGAATACAGTTTCCTTTTAGTTTAGGCAATCCTTATACCATAGTGCTTACATCATCACATGATAATTAACGTACTAATTTGACAACACACACTTATAAAATAAGATGCAGGACATAATTACAAGTATATCCAATTAGACTGAGGACTGACCACAGGGACCTATATTTACATCTAAAACCAGGTATCATATTGGGCATTCAACTCCCACATTGGCAATGAAAATGAGTTGTGTAATTTAACAGTCGTAATCTAGGTTTTAACCAGGTCATGATGCTCCTGTAGTTGGTAACTCATTAAAAGAAGTGTACATAACTCATATATAATTTTTGTTTGTTCTGCTAGAACAAATACCAGTAGCTGGAAGCCACAGGAGAGGAAAGTGCTCTTGTGCTTGGGTTCTGCTTGTGGGTTTCCCACAGGTATCTGCCTGGGTACAATGAGAACAGGCATTGCAACCTAGTTTTTTGTGTTTATGTGGTACTGTGCCTAACACAGAGACCCATGGATAAAGATGTGCCATTGTTGATTTTCCTGTTATGTGCATAAGGGACAACCATGTAGTTTAGCAATCTAGAGCAGGGATGTCCAACAGGTCGGTCACGATCTACTGGTAGATCCCCATGAGGTTTTGGTAGATCACGGTTGATTGCTGGATCCCTTTCCTTTGTTGTTGTTTTAGTCATTTAGTCGTGTCCGACT